AACCGATATGGTTCGGTGAGTTCAGCGGTATGCCTTTTAATACAATATGGCGTAAAAATTCTACAGACGGGATGATGAGTAGACTGCGGATGATCTCTCCGATGATGGGATGCATTTACGGTGTGTACTTAGATTGGTTCTTCCAATTAATCCTTGAAACGATTGACACGTGTAACCAGTTGCCACAAAACGAAGATGCTTTCGAGGATTGCCGGGCCAAACTTAGCAAAAGTATCGAAAAAGGTAGGCATGTTATAAAAAAGTTGATGCGCACATTGCAGTACGTGCATTTGTTTGTAATCCTCGACGGTGTTAATGAAGATAGATTTTACCAACAGCTGTCGCTGCTCAGTGCATTTTACACGGGAGAAACTGCTGAAATATTTTCCGGTGTTATACCAGGAGGCTTGGAATTTAACAACTTGCTCAAGAGAGGTTCTGAATCCTTAGGAGACTTTCTGTTGTCTACGTGTAAACCAAACTACCCATCATTCGATTTAAGGGCATTACAAGACGTATATGCTGCTAAAAGGTACACAAGTGGTATCTACTTATTTTATGTGCACCAATTAGATAGTTACACACGTTTCATCGACGAGCACTTGACCAAACTTCGGTTAACTCCTTGGTAACAAACAGCTTATCCAATCCTATAGCAATACAGATACTTCAAATTGGTGATAAATATTAAAGGTTTTGTATTTTAGTAATTGCAATTTTTTTTTTATATAAGTAGTATAAATCTTTATTTTAAAAAATTCGATGATTTTTGTTATATTTATATTTTTAATGAAGTGTTTTTAAAAAAAATGTTTGGGTTTAATGTCTTTGATGATTTAATAAATGTAGTATCATATCTGAAGTGGTGTTGTAAACTGTGTTCACTTCTTGTTACCACGATTCTGTACTCTCAATAATTAATTATTATTAGCCCTTAAAAGTGTTTAGTTACATCATTGTTTTTATGTTTGGGGTTTGACAGTGGAGTTAGTTTTTTCATGTAATATAAATATAATGACCGGTTCGTTGTTTGATTATTACAAAAAAAAAATATTTTAAAAATCCGCACACTGGGGTCGAAGCACATGTTGAGGAATTTTCCAGGTTAACTGGAATATTTATTGTAGTAAATTATATGTATTGTGTCATATGATTAAAATAAAATATATAAATAATATAGTTATTTCTTATTAGGATCACATACAAATGTCTATGTCAATAATGTATATAAATAAAAAGCATACTAAGTATCTCCAGAAGTATAAAATTGATTGTTTTTAGATCTAGATAATGTATATTTAGTGCATCTTTGTGTATTGATATTTAAAAAGTTATTTTTGATCATAATATATTATTATTTTAATAATAATCAAACGTGTATTTAACTAATCCTTGTATTAATGTTTTTTTTACAATGTAGAAAAACTGGCTCACGATAAGGATGGGTGGAAGCAATTGGTTGTTGCTGCAATGGATCTAAATGGTCCGTTAAAGCCCACAAAGAAGAAGAAGCTTAATGGTTAGATAGATAACTAAATAGTTTTCGACTAAATAAAACCATTAGCTTTTTTAGCTTTAAATGTTTTAAGAAATAAGAGTTGAAAAAGTTCACTTCATGCACTCTTGAAATTTGAAAAAACAAAAAACACTATCCGAGTTTTAAAGTTTCAACTTTTACTGACTGTAACTTCGAGAAAAAGAGTCGGATCAAGTTGAAAATTAACTATATCCATTTCTTCCCACCGGTAGATGGAATTTTTTTTTAATGGTTTTTAGCCGTAATTTTAAGACCTTTTTTTTTTATCTTCATTTACGATGAATTTACCCGTGTAAGCCAGTACGGTGGGGTCGAGGCATTATGGGATCAAAGCTTAGTGGGAGCGGAGATGCCACAGGTGTACAAAAAATAATTATATATAAAAGTGTTAAAATAACTTTCAGATAAACGCTTTGATGCTAATTTGTAAACTGTTCACACTGTGCATGGTTTGGACTGTACTGGTTTGAACATACTAACTATACCGATTGATCCCACTGTATCTATAATACCTACTTTTTACAGTGATGCTATACAATCTTATACTATTAAACTTTTTTTAAGTTAAACATTTCAGCCACAAACAAAGCCGTGAAATAATTAAAATGAAATGTAAACACCACTCGTTAATACAAAAACCAATCTGTTCACTATTGACGTAACTTAACACTGCGTGTAAACAGTTTATAATTTATATGGCGCTCTGTCTGTTGACATACCGCACGTCGGGCCACTGCATTTCTCTGTATATTAGAAATACAACACCCGTTTAATCGTACTATACTAATTATAACTTTTTACTTGCGAAATTTACGACGTTTTATTACATTTGCATACGTCCCTATCCGTGCGCCAGTGCGTTTATGTGAAATACGGTTGTCTACTACGTATTCGGTTATTGTTTTAATCATGTTAATGTTTATGAGGGGTTTTAAAAAAAAAATGCTGGGATATAATGATTTAAATAAATATAATAATGAAAATCTGAAGTGATGTCGTTGACTGTGTTCACTTTTCGTTACCACGATTCTGTACCGTCAATAATTAATTATTATGAGCCCTTTAACAGTGTTTGTGAGTTACATACATCACTGTCTTGTCTTCTAACTGATTTAGTTGAAACAAAGTTGTTTATTTTTATTTTTGTTGTTGGACTGTAGTGGTTAAATTTTTCATCTAACGTAGAATATATAACGACTGGTTCTTTGATTATTTAAAAGAAAATTATTTTAAAAATGCGCACAATGGGTTGGTGGAAGCACGTTGACAAAATCATTACATAAAAACGTTTCCATGTTAATTTTAATACGATAAAAGAATTTATACCAATAAAAATCCATTAATCTGTATTAATTACATCTGTATCAATCTGTATTACGAGTGTTGTTCAAAATGGCGACGACATTGTGTAAGACATTTAACAAATAAAAAGTGTAGCCATTAATCATAGAAAAATAAAAAAATAAAGGAAATATCTGCGTTCTGGCGTCACTGCCTAATTCTCATGTCTTTTTTTTGCAATAAATTCTAAGATTCCCTTCTGTTTTATTCTGTGGTGAAAATAGCGAATTGGTATGTCTTGTATCCAGCCGAATAATTTATGCAAGTTAAAAATCACCATATTTTTATAGCTGATTATTGCACTGGATAGAAAACCAATTACCAAACCTTTAATTACTATTTAAGGTTTGGTTATTGTCTGGTTTGTTGTTTATTAATTGAAGATATTTTAAGTCCTTACCACAATTACCTAAATTGAATAGGTGCAAGTGTAAATAATTGTTATCATAATAACGATTTGATTTGTCATATTTTAAAAGATGGCATTCAAAACTGCTCGTGTGACAGAAAAAAATATAAGATAGAAAATAAAAGACCTGATGGAAAAACGATTCGAAAATGTCGTTACTTGGTTTGTTATTACATTTTTTTTTCGTTTAATTACTTTGAAAAGTTTTTACATTTTCTAGTAGGTATATGTCAATTTTGTTTCTAGTTTATATGTTTTTTTTTTTAAACAGCCGAATTAAATCCAAGTTTGAATGGAATATTTTTAGATAATATAGTACAATATATTTTACCCAGGATGGATGAATTGGAAACTTTTCGGTTTCGGTTTGAGGTTGGGGTCTAAAAAGTTAAACTTTTTTCCTACTTATGTCCTAAGTTTTTAATTGCCTTAGGCTCTGGACGACCTCGGTAAGGTCCCAAGTGCAAATTTTGGGATAAATTCACACCGACTATTGCCATTGTTATACAACCTAGAATGTTTCCTAGTGCTCCGAGAAAGAGACTAAATGAGTTGTTTAGCTTACGAATTCGGATTATAAAAATCAATTTCAGCTTCTTACCCGAGTTAAAAAATCCCATTCTGAACACAATAGATTGGTCTTTTGGAAACTGATATCAATTTAAGATCTATTGCGCTTTTACCACAGCCATAAATCATAATACTCGCCGCACACTTAACTCCGCATTTACAAGACATTTTGAAAACAGTAGAATTTAAAAAAAGGTTAATTTTATTTGCAAAATTTAATTAAAAAGTGAAATATACAATAATACTGGAGGAGCTGACGGCTCTAAGAACACACCCAAACGCAAACTGCGGTGGCAATGGAGGTTTGAAACAAGTGAACGAATGACTAGAAGAAAACCAAATTGTTTGCTTAAAACCCACAAAATAATGTCTTGTTGTACTATTGTTATTTATTACTTGTATTGTATTTTAGAAAAACAAAGCCATACGGTTTAGACACGATTGTCCACATGTCCGTGGAATAAGAGTGGGGATAGATATGCGTGAAAAAAAAAACCGGTAAATAATTTTTACAGCAAAACATTTAACACGATTTGTTTTTTCGTTTGTTATTACAGACGTGGTTATTTATTTGTATTTTTAATATTTGAATTAATTAATTAATTACCTATGTGAATCATAAGACACATTTTTAAAAATGATAATTCAAACAACATCCTACCAAAAAAAAAACACACCTTTACATTTTTGTTTTAATGAATTTACCAGTGTATAATAAATAAAAACATTTGAAATTAGCCATACAAAAATAACGGTATATAGATTTCAAAAATGTAAGTGTTTTCACTTTTTACTAATGTGTAAGCACAAAAACAAATAGAGTTATCGAAATTTTGTAGTCTCTCAATTAAACACAGGAACAAGGGGGCAAGAGAGGTTAATATAAACTATCCGTGTAAATTTGATAAAATACAATTTAAAAATTATAACAATATGTGCACACAAGTTTACAACTTACAAGTATACTCATGACCTATACTTAATATTGTGTTTATGTAAGATTATAAAAATATGTTTATATCGTGCTTGGTTTGGACTTTTATTATTTTCAGTTATAATAATTATTCCTGTGGACCTTGTGGACTAAATCCAGCAATAAATCTGATGTTTAATTACAGACAAAAAAAATACAACAAGAACACATCTCAAAAATAATTTTTAATGAAACGTATACTCGGCACTTTGACACTGTGCTATAATTTTAACTTAATTACATAAATAAATATTGTTTAGTCAAATTCAAATAAAAGTTTGCTTTTACGCTTAAAACCGTAAGACTAGATAATTGTATGTGCAAGTATAAGCTACGATAGGTTTTTTTTTTTTGAAAACCATTTATGACTTTGTAACAATAATAAATTTATAAAAAAAAATTTTTTTTTAGTATAGTATAATATATAAATACAGATAAAACATTAATCGTTCATAAAATAATGTTAATCGCGTATTGAAACGGTTGAGTCATTGATTTATTACAAATTATTTAAAATTGTTTGACCGTAAGGTTTGTGTTCGTCCTTGATTAGCCACATATGGTCTATGACTTCGCCTTCCTAAAATAAAATAAGTATTCAAATGATTAGGAAAAAAAAAACAATCAAGTTGATACGTAACCAAAGAAAATAACACAGTCCAAGTGTTGAAGAAAAAAAAAGGTATTGCGTTGCGAAAGAACGATGACAAGAGATTTTGTAAACATTTATTGTAATTTAAATATAATTCAACCATGGACAAAAATATATCTAAAAGTTATTTTTTTAGAGAGTTCTACTACCATCGTTTTCAAAAATTCACATCTCAGAAAAGGTTCGAGTTAAAAATTTTAAAAATATTAAATTATAATTTTAAAAAGTTTTAAATATATATATATATACTTCACCTTATCGTCCGACACTTGTTCTACATACAAATGTGTACTGTTGTAGATCTTCATACGACCGTAACCGTAATCGCTACTTCTCAACGCCGACCATGCCGGTGGATTTGGAATAAAAGTATCAGTTCTTTCCTGGCAACCCTAGAGTTGTACAATACAATTTAGTTTATTTTTTAACGGTTTAATAAAATATGATGTATTTCCTAAATTTACTTACGGCCGAACCGGACGTGATGTGTACAGGCGCACGAGGATTGGTATAAGGAGCCGTGTAAGTTCCGTTGTACACTTGATGATCGTAGACCGGCCACATTCTTTCATAGGTGTGTTCATGTCCCCAAAGACATAAGTCGACACCGTTGTCGTAAAAAAGTTTTTCCAGTCCAAACCTAAAATGTAAATCTGTGTATCAGTTTGGCATGTATTTTTAACATCAGTTACGACAATGTCACGCTAAATCAAATTTGGGCGATATAACCGTGTTGGCAAAGACTAGCCACTATTTCGCACCCGCTGATGATTGGTCGAGTTGTATCACGCTGTTAAAATCGGGTTTAGAGACCTGCCGATACTTACCAATGCAACAGAGGAAGACCAACTCTCGTGATTGTCTCGTGATAGGTACAGTCATCCTTGTCGGCGTCGGAACAGTACATAGGCCGATGTCCGTACACTATAATCCAAGGTCTGAGTTTGCGATTTTCCGGTTCGTTTGCTTGCTGAGAACAAAATTAAATAAACAGTTGAGCAGCGCAACACTAGGTCGTGTCGTTGTCGAAATGTATCACAATACTCGATGTACTAACTTTGAGATCTTCGACTAGCCATTCGTATTGTAACACCACAGGCTTGATACCGTAATAAAGGAAATAATAAAACTCCGTCGAAAGACTAATAAAATGCACTGGACCCAAGTTGAAACTATACATCATGTTTTCGTAGTCACCCGGCATACTGAAACGAGCTTTATAGTTGCTAAAATTGCTGGGGGGGGAAAAAAAATGTTTAATGAATGAATAGCACATTTTAAATGTGTTTTTGAAATTGTATATATTTAATTACTATTTTTGTTCGTGATTGCCTGGACACGTCATATAAGGAACGTACGAAGCGACCGGCTCCAATTGACGCATAAATTCGTCTCCGACATTGGCATTTTCCTGTAGAAATTTAATCGCAAACAAATAATTATTCGCAGTCCTAATTTTGACAAAACAGAAATACTATCAAACCAAATAGTTTTTACAAGTGTTTCGTTTTCGTATAATGTTTTTAAAAAAATTAAATAAAGTTTTAGTTTTGTGCGTTGGCAGATAGATTTTAGTATATTAAAATACCATTGCTGCGTTTATTTACAAACTTTTTTTTAAATATTTTTTTACAAAAATTACTAAATAAAAATTTACTATTACAATTATTATCACAATAATTTAAAATTCAAATTGTATTAAAACTAATAAATTCTTCACTTCAACTGGTAATCCTTGTTTTAGAAAACTCTGGATAATTTTATTTTAAGTTTTCAAACAATAATTAGTAAATTAATGACTTATTTAAAATTATTTATTACTTAGAACTTGGTATTATATTTAAATACATCTTCAATTGTATACACAATTTTTTTAAAAATTCAATTTTTGTTATTTTAAATTTTATTTCAATCTACTTTTATTTATCTTTGCTATTATTTCAATTTTTATATAAACACAAAACTTTTTAAGTGAACATTTTTCAAAAATATTTCTGTTTGCTAATTTTAATGTGTGAATAAAATAATAATTTATAATAATTCAATCGTTCTGTTTGAACATTGAAATATTAAAAAATGATTTTTTTTTTTGGGCCTATACTTACACTATCCATGTCATAAGCAAAGTCACCAATATGAAGTATCAAGTCATATAATCCTCGCTGAGTTTCTTCCTGGATTCTAGGAAGCGACTGAGCGTTGACGTTACCCATGTCACCGAAAAAAGCAATACTAGGCGACCAATCACTGTCCGTGGGAACGGTTTTGAATGAATACTGAGAAGACCAACCTTTGTTGCTACCGCAGTGATAAACTGAACAAATGTATAGCATTAATAATGGATCATGTTTGTTCTTTTTTTAATAATAATTACTCAATTTTTACCATATTGACTCGAAGGCTGCAAGTTGGGAAGTCTAACACGATGAATGTACTGCGTGCGATGGAGATCGCCACCGTCTACAAATAATTTAGAACTGCCGGAAGCTTTCAGAATCGGTCCGTTTATGCCGTACTTTACAATAGACTCATCAGTGTTATTCCAGGTTGTCCACGTTACAACAATTTCACTGACCGATTCTATTTACAACAAAAAAGTGATAGTACAAAACATCAGTAAGTTGTTCTTTTCAAAAAAAATACATAACATCAGTTCAACTTACCGCCCAACGACAAATGTATTTGTTCAGGTTGGTATCGGACGAGAGGATCAGCCACATTTAAATTGTAAAGTGTTGAGAAAACAAACACAAGTATAAAGTACATTTTTTGTACGCTCAACTTGGTTTTTCACATGGATAATACAAATTTTTTTTCAAATGGCAAACGCTGTCAAATTTAAATGAATTGGCAACAAATTTGTATACGGCTTAACGAGTGAATTTCTCAATTTTCTAGTCTCATCACTTGCAAATAATACCGAAAAATACGTTTAACAATGGCTTGTAATTATTGCGGTGTTCACTTAACTATTTATTCATACATTTTTTTATCTTATTATTGTATTTTATAATAATAATTCTCTATTAAATATATATATATTATGATTTACGTCAACACTCTTTTGTCAAATTTTGACTTTTGTTGACTGGAATTGTTATTGCGCGTTATTGTGTTTTATTTATCACTAACTGAGATAAAACTCAAAAGCAAAGAATAAAAAACCATCGATCAACAGCTGAGCTACAGAGTACAGAATAAATGAAAGCAGAATAAATATTTCCATTTGGCAAATAGACAGCCAATAGGTATGTCGGCAACTTGTGATAACCGGTTTCTCGGGCGGCCGTGTATTTCTTACGGGAGGACACCGGCAACCATATTGTATAAATTGATAACACAAAATGCTGACATACCTACCGTTATGCGGTGGAAGTGCGCCCGTATATTATTTCAACTCGTATATGGTATGAAGTTAGATCCGTTTTTTTTTAAAAATCACATTACATTCGTATCGTGTCGTTTGTAACTTCATGCAATTATGTTTGATTTTTGTTTAATTTAAACTTAAATCATTTTTTATCATTGTCATCGTCTGCTTAACTTAATAAAAAAGTTCACAAAATTTGTATTGAAATTTGTTTCACTTTTTATTGAACAAAAAACCAATAAAAAGTCATATTGTATTTACTTCAACGGATTAAACGTTTTTCGTCGACAATTGATTAAGTAAGTTAACTCTTTTTTTTTTTTTTTCAATTGCTACCAGCGAGAAGGTGATAAAACACATAATTTCACAATATTTTGTTCGAATCATTTCGTTGTCGATATTACAATTATGTGTATGATATTTCTGTTTATTAGTAATGGCAACTGCTGCAGTGGAACCCGCTCCAGACGTCGAAATGACAGACGTATCAGATTCTCAAGAAAAGAAAGACGCAGCCGTCATTCAAGAGATTAGAGACAACATTCGTCAAATAGAGAAAGCCGTGCAAACCAAAGAAACCCGTTTCATACTGCGCGTTTTGAGATCATGGCCCGTAACACGTCGTAAGCTCAATGCAGCGGTGTTGTGGTCAGTCATCAATGGGTTTTACACGCATTCCTCGTCCGACAAAGATTTGCTGTTGTCCTACGTTACTACGCCAACAGATATACCTGAGGCGATCAAAATGCGCACCGGTAAAAACGCCACGGGGGCACTTTTACCGGAAATCGACGGGTACATTCGCCTATTGGTGTTGGTTCAACTCATCGACAAAGAAGATTACCAAAAGGCTGTGGAATTTTCCGATTCGCTAATGGTCAAGTTAGTTGACAAAAACAGACGTACATTAGATTTGATCACGGCCAAAGCGTATTTCTATCACATGAGATGTTATGAACTCACCGACCAGTTACACAAAATCAAAGGATTCCTCTACAGTCGGTTGAGGACGGCAACGCTGAAAAAAGACTACGAAGGACAAGCCGTGCTCATTAACTGTTTACTGCGTAATTATTTACATTATAACTTGTACGACCAAGCTGACAAGTTGGTACAAAAATCCGTGTTCCCTGAACAAGCCAGCAACAACGAGTGTGCTCGCTTCTTGTATTACCAAGGGCGTATCAAAGCCGCCCGTCTCGAGTATTCTACGGCACATAAAAATCTAATTCAAGCATTACGCAAAGCACCTCAAAATTCCGCTGTTGGTTTTAGGCAGACCGTACAAAAGCTTGCCGTTACGGTAGAGTTGTTGTTGGGAGACATTCCGGAAAGGCATATTTTCCGCCAAGCGAGTTTACGTAAAGCGCTCATTCCGTATTTCCGCCTTACTCAGTCGGTGCGATTAGGAAACCTTAACATGTTTAGCGAAACATTGGAGAACTTCAAAGAAAACTTCCTCGCCGACCACACTTACATGCTGATTGTTCGCTTACGCCACAACGTCATTAAGACGGCCATTCGAGCTATTGGCGCGTCCTACTCGCGTATATCGGTAGATTATATTGCCGAAAAACTTGGATTGGATTCAGCCAAGGACGCTGAATTTATCATTTCAAAAGCCATCAGAGATGACGTTATTCAAGCCACCATCGATCCCGTACACAGCCACGTCCAGAGCAAAGAACCGGTCGATATATATTGTACGCTCGAACCTCAAATGGCGTTCCATCAGCGTATTTCGTTTTGTTTGAACTTGCACAACGACAGTGTCAAAGCTATGCGTTATCCTCCCAAATCGTACGGTAAGGATTTGGAGTCGGCCGAAGAGCGCCGTGAGCGGGAACAACAAGATTTAGAACTCGCTAAGGAAATGGCCGAAGAGGACGACGATGGATTCCCTTGAATCAATAATGTTTTTTTTTTTGTTTTAATAATAAATTAAGTGTATTCAAATTTTTTTTTCTAATATATATATTATTATACAAATTTAATTTTAACATTAAGTTGTCACACGTGTACCAAACATAAAATATGAGAATATATATATATACACAATAAAAAAAGCAGTTTACAGTCACTAAAAAAAATGACTATACATATATTATATTATTTTTTACCACTTGGCACGTTTAGACCAATCTTTAGGTGTCCAATGCAAACATTTCGGTTCGATTCGGACTTTCCTTTTTTGAAACGAATCTATGTGAGTAGTTATTATATCTTTATTGATGGATATTATGTATTGTCCCTTATAGTAGTTGATCAGGTTGAGGATTTGCAACGTGGACACGACATCTTCTTTTTTAATACTGGTCAGTTCACAAATTTCGCTAAAAAAAAGTTCAAAAATCCGTAAAGCTTCTTCCTTAACCATGTTTTTTTTTTAAACTTTTGGATTCGCTTACTTGATAGTTATCTGGGGTTTTTCGTTGTCCGGTGTCGGTTTAACAGTCAACAGTATGTCCAATATCGTTTGACTCCAGTAACTGCGATACGACAACAATCCCAAGTCCGATAACGGTTTCTCGGGTGTGCCGGTTTTTCCTTCAAATTTCGATAACTCGTAACCTACCAAATAGAAATATTAAATTACCCTCAACAATTTTACAAAAGTACACTGCAGTGATATTTACTGAATTCGATCAACAGTTTGCCGTAGCCTTTACGCTGGTACGGAGGTAATGTGAGAATACACGCAACGTTATAGTCTTCGGTGGATTCTTTCTCTTTAGAAAAGTAGCCGACTATGTGGTAACCCTTTAGGTCGTACTCTGTCATGACGTAGAATAAAAACGGGTCGGTGTCGTAGTACAGCGTTTTATGGTCCAAAAACAACTTGGCCAACAAGCATAAGTTTTGCGAGTACGATTTATTCTTGCGACCGTCAATTTCGAAAAACGATATTGACTCTTTTCTGTATATCTCCGTTCCAGGCGGATTTCTTAGATTACATTTTATCTAAAATAAGTAGACAAATTAATTACGACAGGCTGCATCGTTACCTAAAACTGATAGTCAACACCTTTTACGGCAACTAATATATTTAAAAAAAAACAAAGCAAAAAAGTACAAGCCATGTCATGACATTGTATAAAATGTATTACACCAAAAAAAAATTATAGCATGAAAATATTTTAGTAATGACTTACGCTGTGTCGGTAAAGAGAGGTTCTGCTTTTCTTGTACTTGAGACAAAATTCACAGATGTAAATACAATTTAAGTTAACCATTTCCTGGAAAAAAAATAAATGTATATATGTTTAATATATAGGTAATAAACTTCTGTAAAAAATTAAAAGCTTTAAAATATAAATTGTCACTAAGTAAGATATTAAAATAAATAAACATTTAAATCAAACCTGATCATTTTTTATTTAAACAACAAATAGTTATTTGAAAATAATGAGATATTTTAAACACATTTTTATAAACCTAACAATTTTTAAATAAAACATTTGATTTTGTTTTTTAAACTTTTATAATTATTTTATCTGAGTTATTACTATTATTATAAAAAAAAATATTTGAAATTATTATTTGGACAAACTTATTTCTTATTTGAGTTTTTTTTTTAAATAAACTATTACTTTTAGTATTTAGTTTAATTTAAACTATCGTTCTAACTTAAAATCCAAAATGTAATGTTTTAATCATTTTTACTAGCCCATTGTGACAATTATGTTAGTCATCCCGATAAACACTCATCATTGGCTTAATTCATATCTTGTCCATGTATTAAAAATAGAGCCTTGGCCAAAAATAAGTAATTTTGAAGTTACGGCAATTGTGAATTAGACCGACAGTACCAAACGTTAAAAGTTAACCGTTGTTTGCAAATACATAATATTAATTATACAGTCAATTTTTAACCTGTGGATAGGGTGAAAAGTACCACGGACTTATTCTGTGCAAACCAAGTTCGATCATCTCTACATTTTTCATTCTTGTAACGACATCGTCGTGTTGCATAACCATGGAACCCGTTTGACGTGGTGTAGCTGTGGCTACTTCTTGGGATTCCTAAAAAAAAATGTACTTAATTTTAGAATACATATAAAACAAATGTATCGTTTATTGAGCCTACTTCTGTATCGACTAATTTCCTTTTTCTAGCAATTTTCTTTTGCAAAGCGGCTGTTAGCACTGTAGGATCGTTCTGTGTAGGCACAGGGGGTACGCTCAGAGGCGATGCCGGTCTGCTTTGCGATAAAATGGAAATATTTTCCGTTTTACGATTTGGCGTACTAGCGCCTGTACCTCCGCCTCCTCCAGCGTTTCCGGCTGTACCGGTGGTTTGTCCATCTTTTCTGGGATACTGCACTTTGCGAGTGTCCAGTCGTTCTTCGGTCACCCATTCGTCTAATCTTTTATTATCTAAAACGTTGACGAATCAATTAATATGGCGTTTACGAATGGACAGTTAATAAAACGAAAGGTCTTGTAAAAAAAAAATAGTGTTGTTCGTTAAGAACAACAACCTGACGATTTACACTTACAATCAATGTAATGGACGTAATAGAATCGCATGTTTCCCACGTCTTTGATACTTATTATTTCGGCGAGCGCTAAAACACCGAATAAGCGTTACGAATAATATAAACAACACGGATATATTCCGGTATAACGTTTACTTACGCCAATCGTCGCTGCTGTGCATTCTCACCGACAAGCGACATCCTTCCGTCAACAGGTTCTTAAAAACCAAAACAATAATAAACGTAAAATATCAATTAGTATATACCTATCTTTGCACTAGCAGTCAATCCTTACCACAGAATCGCAAATGAAATCCGATTCTTCTCCCATGATGTCCTCCGCGCGTGTTGTGCTTTTTTTTACCAAACGCATACCATCTTTGTCGTATAACACCCGTGCTTCCTACTACTTACTTGTTTATGTACTTGTTTACTCGGTTAAGTCACTTTAGACGACATTCAAAAACGGTTAGGCCGCACAGGAATTGCCGCAAAATTTAATTTGCGTAGAACACTTATCAATACACGGTACTGATAACAAAAATACAAATAAACATGGAGGAGAATAAATGTAAACGAGAGTTTATTATTTTTTTTACACGATACGAATGATAACGTTATCTATTCTGTTGATAACATATCATTCACAACAACAGTCAACATGTGCCAACTGCCATGTGCAATAATTAAATTTTGCTACTAAACAACTAGTGCTTGATTTTTGAAATTTCTCCAAAAACCGAGTACACAGCATTTTTGTTTTTCTTGAATCCGTGAAAATGACGGACGACGATCCGTTTTTGACGCATTATTCGTACGATTTATCGCCCGAATTGATTACTTGTCTGGGCGACAATCCTCCGCTGGAAGAAACCGTTCAACTAGAATGGCCCGAACTGGGCAAGTTAACGTTCAAAAAACCAAAATTAATCGTTCCAGAGAACCGGCACGCCGTCAAAGCGTTGGAAGAAATAAGACCGTACGCCAAAATACCGGATGTTCCCGTCTTGTCGGACGATGTGAGCACACTATCTCTTCACAAACAACTAGTGTCGACCGTCAAAGACGTCAACAGTTTTCAATTGGAAGTCTTGTCCGTTATGTGCCGTTACCACGATTTTAATTATGCCGAGAGGAATTTCGACAACGCCGAAGAACTGAGATACTGTTACAGTGTTCACGCCATCAACCATGTCGTGAAAAGTCGAGATATCGTCGTAGAAAACAACAACAAGCAAGATAAAAGTGATGATGAAATGCGCGACCAAGGCTTGACTCGACCTAAAGTATTGATTCTAGTTCCGTTTAAAGATTGCGCTTATCGTATTATCAACATGATGATATCGATATTGTCGCCTAAAGAAAACTTCAACGTTGTACATAAAAACCGATTCCTTGAAGAATTTACGGGTGGTGAACTAGCTATGCCGAAAAAGAATCCAAAACCGGAAGATTTCGAAAAAACTTTTGTCGGCAACATTGATGACGCTTTTAGAATAGGTATGGCGGTCACCAAAAGTAGTTTGAAGTTGTACGAAAATTTTTACAACGCTGACATCATTATAGCTTCGCCGTTGGGCTTGCGTATGATCATCGGTGTAGAAGGTGAATCGTCCAGAGATTACGACTTTCTGTCGTCCATAGAAATGCTGATATTCGATCAAGCAGAAATATTTTTAATGCAAAATTGGGATCACGTGTTGCACATCATGAACCATTTTCACCTTCAGCCAAAAGAAGCGCACGGCACAGACCTGCAACGAGTTCGAAACTGGTCCATCAACGGTCTGTCCAAACACTATCGTCAGACAATCATGTTGTCGTCTTGTCGGTTACCTCATTTAATGGCAATATTCAAAAACAGGTGCCTGAATTACGCCGGATCGCTAAACGTGATTAATCCGATCGTAACCGGCATCATAAGCCACGTAGTGTGCAATTTAAAACAGTACTACCATAAACTCGATTCGAAAACACCGACCGAATCTATTAGTCAACGATTCGATTATTTCATACATAAAATTTTGACGCAGATTCGGGCTTCCAACGAAAAACACGTATTAGTGTACATACCGTCATATTTCGATTTTGTGTGCATTAGGAACTATTTGAAAACCGAAGATTACAGATTCGTTCAGATCAACGAGTACACAAAGCCCGGCAAGGTGGCTAGAGCCCGAGACTTGTTTTACCATAACGAATGTGAAATTCTATTGTACTCGGAACGGTATCACTTTTACAACAGGGCCAAAATCCGTGGAATCGAAACTATCGTCTTCTATCAGTTGCCTACGATTGCCGGATTCTACAGCGAACTCTGTAACTCTATCATTGAGAGCGATTGCGGCGCTCGTAATATTACAGCAATTTATTCGCAGTACGATGCTTGTATGTTGACGTCGGTCGTTGGCACACAAAGAGCCAGGTATATGTTGACTTCGGATCAGAAAATACACATGTTCCATTCGGGTACGTGATGAACTGTAAAACGACTTAATTGTTATGAACCATACTTTATGTAATTTATGTTGAATAAAAAATTTGTTTTTTTTTTAATAAACCTTTAGACTATTGTCTAGTTTCTAAGTATTCCTTCTCGTGTTTTTTGGCTGTTTTTTCTCGATATTTAACAAATATTTTATGGAAAACAAAACTTTCATTTGTAGAAAAATATTGTGCCTAAAGGAATTTTTTAATTTAAATAAAGTTATGTTACAATAGTATTTTTGTAGAATCAGAATTGTGGTGTTTTCATTGCACGATCACAGTTTGCAACAGTCAAACCGAAGCATTATTATTTAAATAAATCTCAAATAATATAAATTTTGTTTGTTATTTGAACAAATACCAATTAATAATTACAAATAAATATTCTATTTAAACTAATTTAATTATCTAACAAATAAAAAATCGAATAAATTTGTTAAGTAAAAAATTATTTCGAACAATTTATTTTTTGACAGCAAATAAAAAATTTTCAAATAATTATTGTTTGTTATTTTTAATTAAAAAATGCCTAGGTTTGCTTTGTAATATACATTAATGGTGCAGGACTAACTTTTTAATAATAATTCCTAAATACTCTATAGTTGTTTTATAATGTCAACAAATTTTCAAGGGAACATTTGTGTTGTTAAAATTTTGATTTACAGCCAAAATATGATTGAAGTTAATGTTTAAAAAATTGTTATAAGAATTATAAAACAAACTAATTTGCTGACAAATAAATTCCTTTGCCGAAATATTATATACAATTATTTTCATAACAAAATAAACATGGCTTGGCCAAATAAAGCGAGTACTGCTAAACCGCATCTTCTAAGACTAATATCTCTAAAATTTGTGCGATGCTTATTTTCAAACTAGTATGAGCAACTTAATTATCCTTTCTATTATTTTTGTAAACATTCAAAGTTTACATTTTTTATTGTCAACTACAAACAATTTTATCGATAAATTTATTAAATATTGTAGAATTGCTTGTAAAAACAAAAAGTATATTAGTAAATATTAATGACGCAGACTAATACCCATTATTATTCATCTATTTGCCAATATTTGTTTGGCTCGTAAATAATGTGTTTTGAAATAGTTTTTTAACAGTATTTGAAACAAATACATGTCGGAAATTTATTCAACATAATTTCTATACCTAAATAGATATCCTTACTATATAATATATAAATATAAAACACCAAACAAAATCTACAATTAATTTTCTGTCGCGTCTCCTTCATGATTTTGATCGAGAGATTTAGTGATTTCTTCATATTTTTCAGCCCTGTAAGCTTTTTTTGCTTCGTCCAGTAGAACGTTGTGTATAAAATTTCTTTTGTCCGATTGCAATGGCAGAATAGAGGGAAACGGGTTTCCTAAATGAATAAATAAAAAAAAATACCATGATTAAAATTAGATTAGTGTGTTACGACTGCTGCTTTTCTCTCTCGAGTAACTAAATAATCACCTTTGAGTTCCAAGACGGATCCAGGCAAAACAATTTCCGGATAAGCTTTTGGAGCTCTATACAACATTGTGTAGGACGTATTGTAATCCACGTAACGCGGCACGAGCACTTTGAACAGCTTGTGGATCAACTGTTTCTCTTCGATCCAAAAGTCTGCCATTTCCATGGTGGGTTTGTGGGTGTCTCCGTGTCGAATAGCTTCGGATATTAACTGTGACGGAAAAAAATCATTCAAAACACCGAACGTACAGCACAATAGTAACAATATTATATAACGATCTTACCCGTTCGGCGTAACCCCTCGACTCGTCGGCTAGCGTATAGCCCAGCTCAATGCGTTCGTATTTAAACAGAGCGGTGACGGTTTTGCGTAACTTCTTCAAACGTCCAGGCGGACCTTCAGGCTGTTTGAGATTCTTGTGACGGGGGTTTATGCGTATTCGAAGTTTCGATATCAACGGTCCCAGTTCCGCTTGGTTCATGGTTTCAGATTTCGATTGGCGGTTATTGAGAGTAAGCGATTAAAAACGAATTTAAACAGTACTCAAATACTGAAAACGCGGAAATTGTAAATTAGTAAATTACTAACTTGCTGTTTAATTTTATGCACATGTAGAAAAAAAACATGCGAATATAGCTGATTTTTAGCCGACATTGATAAGCAATGATAACGTTATCAGTAGATTGATAAGGAAAACCAAAGATACTATATAATAAAACCCAAAGTTTTCACCACTTCTGGGTAAATGGGCTTATGATATTTTCTTGGGTTTTCACTGTTTTTTTTTTTTAGTACAATAGGTATATCTAAACAACATCACACGCATATTATTGAGAACTAATTTGACTTAATTAAAAAAAAAAAATGTTTTTATGTGACCCATCTTATCTACTGAACCGATTTCTTCATGTGTCAACTCTATCGATCAGTAATCGTACCTAAAAAGTAAAGTATAGAAAAAATAGATAAAAAATTTAAAAAGTTCGTCATTCCCTTTAAAAGTCGAGAAAATCATTCAACAAAATTACATAGTTTTCAACTTAAAATAACGGCGCTTTATAGCCTTTTTATAAATAGTCGGTTTAGTTCCGAATTTGTGTTGAACATTAATTTAACATAGAACTACCTATAAACGTTGACAAACTAAAAAAATATCATTAACCCTTTAAAAAGGGTAAAAGATACAAGATACTCGATGATAACAGTGATAACAAACGGTGACCATGTGTAACCACGATGTCGGTTACTCAAAAAAGTATAAAACTTATATAAGCATGACTGAAGCCAGTTTATGAATACTTAAGATTAAGCTTTACTTTTAAAAGTATAACTTAAGATAAGGTTAACTGACTATAAATACGGCACATAGTTTTTTTTAACTTGGACGGTAGCTGGGCCAGTATAAAGTTCCCTAAATTTGCAACACAAAAATGCTTATACACGAACAGAGTTACAATAATTAAATAATTACTCATATAACAGTTATTAACAACCAGTTTGAGAAATCCATATTAAATGAATTTTTTTACTAATACAATTTGACGTTTATTAATTTATTATGTCATTTATACACCCATCAATATTGCATATGTTCTAAGCAAACTATGGGTGTGTCCATATGTTCTAAGCAAACTATGGATGTGTCAGTGCGTTTATATGAAATACAGTTGTCTACTATGTGGCACAAACCGAAAATTTAAAGACATTTTGAGTATTCATATAGACTACGTTCGTCGTGCTGTGTTCGATAGTTTGCAATTTTTCAAATCTAAAAGACTCGAGATGGACAAAAATGTGTTTACCAAGTTTTTTATTCCGTTTGTATTGCTGTGTTTACACGACGGAACAAATGTGTGCGCAGACGGGACAAGAGATCAAAAAAGAATGCTCAAACGCGTTACACAAGAAACACTTTGGCAACCGATATGGTTTGAAGAGTTCAGCTGTATGCCTTTTAATACAATATGGCTTAAAGATTCTACAGTGGGCACGATGAGTAGGCTGCGAATGGTCTCTCCAATGATGGGATGCATTTACGGTGTGTACGTACAATGGTTTCTACTGTTGACCGTTGAATCAATTAACACTTGTAGCCAGTTGCCACAAAACGAAGATGCTTTCGAGGACTGCCGGGACAAACTTAGCAAAAGTATCGAAAAAGGTGAGCATGCTGTAGTGAAACTGATGCAAACATTGCAGTACATACACATATTTGTAATCCTTGACGATTTCAACGAAGATCGATTTTACCAAACACTGTCGCAGCTCGACGATTTTTACAGGGGACAAATCCCTGTTCCCGAAATTTTATCAGGAAGCTCGAAATTCAACGATTTGCTCAAGAAAGGTGCTGAATCCCTAGGAGACTTTATGTTGTCTACGTGTAAGCCCAACTACCCATTATTCGACGTGGAGGGAATAAAAAATGCATATGCTGCCGAAGGTCAAACAGACGTTACCTACTTGATTTACGTAGCCGAATTAGATTCTTACAGTGATTTCATCGACAGGCACTTGACCAAACTTCGGCTAACTCCTTGGTAACAAACAGCTCTTTCAGTCCTATAGAAACATAGATAATATTGTAAATTGGTTTTAATTAGTAAAGGCTTGTATTTTATTGATTGCATTTTTTTAAAAAATAGTACCCAGTTTTTTGTCATGTTAATTTTTATCAGATGTCTTAGAAAATCTTTGGATTTAATGACTTCAATGATTTAATAAATGCATTAAAAATCTGAAGTGTGCTGTGTGTTGTTAACTGTGTACACTTACCAAGATTCTGCGCCCTCAATAAGACCTGTGACATACCCAACTCCAATATGCTTCGACCCCACTATACTGGCTTTTTTTTTTTATTAATTGTGAAACGCTTTATTTATTTTTCCCATTAAATTCGAGTTTTTTTATTAAGTCAATAAAACATTTTTTGACTCGTGCAAATTTAATTAAACTCGAACTTGTAAGTTGTATCTTGCTATCAGACTTTTATTCTAGTCATTTCCATTTTATTGTCATTCAATTAATTTTTTTTTTCAGTAGTTATAGACATAGAAGAACAGTGCCACACTAATAAAAAAGACCTTTCGCGCAACACGTTAGTATACCTAAATGGCTTGTGGGCGTACAACCGTGTGTATAAAGCAGTAAGAACTCGTTACTAAAAAAAGAACAACAAAAGAGAGAGTTCTCTCTAAATTGTACATAATGTCTATATATATAATTGGTATGTTTTTATTGCTTCTTTATGTGGAACCGATAGGGACAAATAGTTGGACCTCGGCCAACTCCACGTGGTTAGGCTGTCGTTTTCATTCTATTCACAGGCCACAGCAGAGCGAAATAGTGTTTTGGTGTAAACCTAGTTAGCCGCAAGCATACAGCTGTTTAAGAGCTTTGGATTGAGAGCGGTCTATTTTTTTTTAAGTTTTAGAATGGCTTTCATTTTTTTCTCAACAAAAAAAAAAATCAACATTTCTTTTTGTAATCAACAAAAAACTACAAATTCCACATTTTAGTTCTGATACCAGTTCCGAAATCATCAAAGAAAAATAGAATATCGAAATGAATCTTATAAAATATAAAAAATTATTCTAATGCACACACTGACCACAAAAAGGTGTTTTTTTTAACAATGGTGGCGATTAAAAAAAAATAACTAAACCAGCTAGAAAAATCTACTATCCACTTGTTTCAAAAGATAATAAATAATATTATAGATTGCAATTAACATGATTTCAAATCGTTTTGATCCATCAAGGGATTTTCGATTAACTACTGGTTTTGTTTTATAATTTTTTTTTGGCGTGCTTTTGAATTAAATCATCAATTTAAAATATATCTAAAAACTATTAAAAAAAACATTTTCGATCATCTTTTGGTAAAAATCTTCTAAAATTAAATTACCAGTTACTTGTTTGTTGAAAATATTATTATTTTGTAACATAACACATAACATTTGTTATGCGATTTCGCTGGTTGATCTTAACTTTACTCTAAGCTACATATTATTATTCTTGTCTCTTGGAATGCATCCAGTCGTTAATCATTACAACGATTAACTCTTAAAACACACGCCTAACCGAGCTGTCATTGTCGAAAACGGTTATTTTAGTTAAGCAAAAAAAAAAAACTTACCAATTCGAGACAACAAGCTCCATACGACCTTAATGATTTCACCTAGTACGGTGTATATTGTTACAGTATTATAATGCAGTGAAAACTCAAACGGTCCTTTAGGGGTCACCTAACGTGTGATTTAGAGTTGCCTAGCAGGTAGTCTTACAGTTAATTTATAAAATGTCACCTAAAAAGTAATAAACACTCTGGAGTCCCGTTTTCACTGAAACAGCGAGCATGTATGATTTACTGACGATTAGCTCAAGAAAAATGACCAATTCTATTGGTAATATGCTGACATTATTTAGGTGTACTGAAGTCCGCCCCCCAAGCACCCCACTAATTTTACCGAGAAAGAAGATCTCGCATAAGTAGTTCTGATATATATATATATATTTTTTTAAGTTTTAGCGCGCTGTAATTTTAAGTAAAAAAAATTGCACATTTTAAGGTGGTTTTTTCAATTTTTAGAGGAAAGGATGTACACAAATGAGTACTCAAGTCGACGAAGACGATTTTTCGGGAGGCTAATTTTTTAGTCAGGGGAGATATAAGCCCCGGTGGTCCCCCGCCCCTCCCTCGAGTTGGGCCGTATACCCGGAAAACGCGCCTTCCGGTCCCGAACGACAGTAAATTGTATTTAAAAATAATAACAGCATTGTTTGTTGTAAAGCTGGAATTCGGAAAGCCCGAAAGTTCTTTACAGCCGCCGCCGGCGGCGCCGCCGGACGGGGCAAAAATATTGATCATTCCCCTTTTTGTTTACAAGCTCGACGGATACAAGCGTCGAGCTTTAGTGGGCCTCTCGTGCTCGACCACAGCTGATGTCGTCCGGTGCCGTCAGTGTCGCACGTCCGAATACGCGCCGCCGTCTACTACTGCCACAGTCATTTTCCGTTTTACTATTGTCATAATATTGTGATCAACGCCGTTTCGATTTTTGTCGTTTAAATCTCTCCCCCCCCCTGCCCCCCCAAACATATTGCCGCGTTACATCTCGGGGATATATATTCATATGTATATATTATCGTTATAATACAGAAAACCGCCACACGACTACGGCTATTGTACACTTATTGCACACTCCAGGCAATGCAAGATTGTCGTCGGGCACACGCGTCAACACGATGATGGCCGGTCGTTCGGTTGTTCCAAAACAGAGTCGTTCGGTTTGCGAATCATACACTTTGTCGTCGACCCGGCTGCTGCTGTACTCGAAAAGTGAGTTCGTTACACAGTTTATCCTGATTGTTAATTTAAAGCCATTTTGGTGGTATTTTAAACCTACAAGCCTGACAAAATTACGCCTACTTAAGACGATCAGATTTTTTTGGAAAAAGACACGAGTTCTTTGACTAAATTATGGAGAAATCCGATTTTCATTTGAAAAATTCGGTTTTTATTAATTAAATTAAAAAATTATTCAATATTAAAAAATACAATTTTTACATAAGAAAAGCAAAAACTCATTTCCGACATAACTTAGTAAATTAGCCAAAGAACTCATATCTCCTTACAGAATTTAAATAGGACCTTCCTAAGTAGTCGACATTTTGTCAGGCTTTTTGTGCTAAAACTTCAAAAAACAGATCGTTTTCAATCCTTTTAAAAAGTAATGCATTCGCATTCACATTGATAAAAAAAACGGAAAGCATTCCTAGTGTATTAAAAAAAAAACAAGGTTACTCTTGTGCTAATCAGGTATTAAAATATGCTTTATTACTAAATGTACAGACAGTGTATAGCTGTAGATTAAAGATAGGCCCGAAGGTGACCACTGACTAACTAGTACGTTGAAGCAATTCAAATTTTTGCTAAGACTGTGAACTATTTCTCGTTTTTAAACGGAAAATGTATATACTTTTTGAATTCGTTTTATTTGCAACCACATTCGGACATAAAACGAATGCATTCCCATTCCTAATACCTTAAAAATAATAAATATAATGCATTTTTCTGAGAAGGAATGAAATTCAATGAATGCACTCCTATGAATGCATTCTTTCCAAACACTCACTGTAATGTAGCTATGGTCTGAGAGCGGTTTTTTAGTTTTTCACACACAATATACTTTTTGGCTTTCTGCAGCTCTACGAGGGTGAAAAATGGGGAAGACTTATTGATCACGAATTGGTTGAAAAAATATTATTTTTCATATTCGACCATATTTTGAAGATTAGAGACTACTTTCGGGTTTGAGCGTTTTTTTAAACATTTTTCATCAGTGTTTGAATGGAATATAAAGAGAATATTTTAAAATTCTGTTGGTGCCATATTATCATATCATATTTTGATATGATAGGGGTGCTAAGCTCACTCGAACTCTCCTCAAATTGTGTGACACACGGGCTAAGTATATATATTTTTTAACTTTAATAACAAAGTGACGACGACGACGGCGTTAGGTCACAGAGTATAATAATATATAGCTTACAACATTGACAATGTATATTATTATTATGATAACACGGTAAAGTCGCGGTTGTATTGTCATTGCTATATTGTCGATACCTAACCGCATTGTTGTAACGTCAAACGTTAATAGACGGTTGTCGTCGGCTGAAATATTATTTTATAATAACAAAAGCAACCGATGTAGTTTATACGAATATTGCGTTAATTTATCAATGATTTGATAAAGACAAAAAAATATGTACATATAATTATACCAATGTACACATGTATATGTTATACTTAATTCTACAAAAAAAATCTAACAAAATTTGGCACGTAAACGCGCGGGCTAGGTTAGATTAAACAGAAACGTACTGACTAATAATAGATAAATACCATGTTAACAACAGAGTTGGGCATCGTTCGAATGAAATGTTGTTTAAATGACTTGACGATCAACAGAGTCATTCGATTATTCCTTTTAGCTTCGCTGAGAATCTATTGGTTTTAAATTGACGGTTTTATATATTTTTTTTTTGCTGTAGACACGATAACTTTTTCCCTGTGGACCGATTTACTCGTGTAGCACCTCAATCGTATACTGGTGGTACTTTGATGGGTAAAAAGTAGATAAAGTCAACTCCTTAGTCCACTGAACCAAGAAAAAATAATTTACCGGGTTTTCAGCCTGTCAGATTTGATTTGCTATACTTTTTGCAAAAAAAAGGTTTGGCTGAAATCAAGTATCAATCAGATACAGAACAAGTCTGTAGAAATTTGGGTCAAATAAATATTTTAATCTTAATGTGATTTCATTACAATCAAAAAACGCCTTGATAGTTGTAGTAAGAAGAATCCATCACAGTATAAACCAGCACAGTCTAAACTAAAGACAACCCAAACGAACACAGTTTGACCTAGCATAGTCCAAACCAGCACTATAAGAATATACAAAAGTGGGTCCAGTATCCACAGATTCGCATCGAAGCGTTTTCTTGAATTTGATTTTATTAATAACTCTATTTTTTTTTTTAAGAGGACAATTTTTGTTATTCATCACATACAGAAATTACTGGAGTAAAACTTTATCTTTCTTTATACTTATTGTTAAATTATGAATATTAACCTTTTTTTTGTTTAGTATTTTTTTTCACTTCAATATATATTAACTATTCATAAGTTAAATAATATTAAAATAAATGTTTTTAAAATTAAAACTAATTATTGATCAAATCATTCTTCGCATCGTTCCTATTGCATTTTTATTCGCGAATAATTAAATTAAAATTATTCGAATATCATAGTTATTTAAATATATGTATATATAATATATTATATATACTACGAATAAAGAATTGTATTTTAATATTGATTACATACCGAATAATAATAACGCTATGACTATTTAAAACAACAACTATTGAACTGTTAGCCAACTCTGAATTAACTATCATGGCATTAAATATCAAAAATAAAGTAAGTAATAGAACGACTTCTTGTAAGACAGTATGTGTCGATGTTCAAATAAACGACCAGAGATGGAGAGAGAAACAGATTGAGATAGAAGTAAAAGGAAGACAGAGAGATAGATTGAGATTAATAGAACTTAACATGTCGGATTCCCATTTCACAGCACGGGATTCTCCGTAATACCACAAGCATTAAGTTTACCACTTAGTTTGAATCGCTTTATATTACAATACATTTCAATAGCGACAATCCGCTGCAGTATTAAATGGTACATTTCACACACAAACGCGTTTGGATCACTACATAGTACAGTTTATGCGAATACAAGCAGACGCCGAAGCTGTAAATCTTAGCGTCCACTATTAAAATCTTAAAATATTTGTTTTGTTCCGAAGATTGTTTTTTGTTTTCATTTTATTGTCTAGACCCACGATAAAAATGGCCCGCCTATAATATACAAACATTTTCAATTTCATCATTTATTATGAATTAAATAATTAAATTGCATCAAACACAGACGTGCCACTCTTCTGGAGCAAAACCACATTTGTAAGGGGCACTTGCCTCCTACACCATAGTGTAAACATTTTTTATATGAATGTAATTTTAATCATTTTTTTCCAGTTATAATCTGCTGTTATCTATTGTAATAACGTTATACATTTAAATCGCTTTAATAATTTAAAGGTAGTTAGATAAAAAAAAAAAAAGACTAAAAATTTGATACTTCTCATCCAGAAAAAAAACATTTCCTTTGTAAGATATTTCAATATTGTATTATATTTTAAGGTTTTTGTGATTATTTTATATGTGACAAACGTTCAAACTTAAAATATAATTGATAAAAAAATATATAATATATCAATCATGTTGATTGATCAATTATTATCCTAATAATTTATAAAAACTACCTAATTGTGATTTTTACCTAATTTTATAAACATTAAATATTTTTAAATAATGATGAATGACGAATGTACAAAGTACATTATGAAAATATATCTTTGTTTTATAATGTTGTATTGATGACCATACCTAATTAATAGAAATGTAGATTCAGTAATTTTTTTTTTTATTAATATTATTTTTTATACCAAACTGATTTCAAACATTGTTTTCTTGTTTAAAGTTTAATAACTCATCTATAATACAATTGTATTATAAGACATTTGTATGGTTTTTTTAATCACATAGTTAAAATTTTGCCTATGGGAAGTCATAGGCTTACCGTAGAAAAAAGAAAATAAATAAATCCGTTCAATGTTTACTCCAGAAATCATTTCTAAAATATGTGTGGTTTTTCGATCAATTTTTTCCCGCCAGCTTAGAATAAAATTGCTTTAAAAGTTATGTAACTAGAAAAACTTTAGAAGAGGATGTTATACCCCAAATTTAGTTTATTTATCTTTTTTCCATAATATTTTTTCGAACAAAAAAATACTTATTATAAAATACCTTAACTTTGTCATAATTTAGCTTTGCACGTCAATACTTCACAAGCAATTTTCTTTACATCTATTTTCTTTATATTCACTCTATTCTGCGTCGACTGGTATGCGACAGTAACAATGTTTATGAGGTCGAAAACCCTTTGAATGATAATTTTTTTATTGCTATATTTGGCCTTTTAAAGAGAATACGTCTGCCAAAAGTTTCGAGAGATATTATGGGCTGTTTGTTAAATGTAATTTGTTTTCTTTCTAGCAAGCCATCAAAGATGAAACGTGGTTCTTTGACACACAAATATAACCGTATTCAATTCGGTCAGGGTCATATAATTATTAGCCATTTCCTCGGGTAATTCGAGTACGTTTTTTTTTTTTTTTTGGACAATAAATCAAATTCGTTTTGGTCGTTACACAGGACTTTTGGCACAATATGCCGTACACGTGTACCTACATAGTATGTATTCGCCGAATGGCAAAGGGTTCGTGATTGACGTGTACCCAGGGTTGTTCGAATAAAACGTTATCTAAATAGCCATCTATCTAGATAACAAATCATTCAAGTAGAAGTCATTCGAATAATTCAAAAACAATTTTTTTTTTTTATAATTCTAAACATATTTACTAAAATAATTTTCAAACATATTATTTTAACAGTTTTTAAGTGTTTTTTTTTTTTTTTGAGGAATTATTATTATTTCACATATACATAATATGTGTATAATACATATATTACAAAAGTCAAAATGTATATATATATATATATATATACGGAAAACATTTGTTATCCGATTAATTTAATAAATCATTTTTCATTCCAATATAAATTGCGGACAAAATTATCGTTGGAATACGATTTTTATACGAACAAGAATTTGCACAACTCTGCCAACGGTGTAGCGTTATTGCGAT